GTGTTAAGACTTGATTTAACTGGCAAGAACACAGGACAAGATGTTTAATAAAACATAACACATATCTGTGGAAATATGAACAAGGTGAATAAAATAAGTTACCTTATCTTTGTCCCCTTCTTCCTTGATTCTTTTCTTCTTCTTCTTGAGGAGAAAATCAACAACATTTAGATTAAACACTGGCATGGATTCATTATTGGATTACGACACCAGAACCTGATTCTATTGGAGTGTACTCAAACACTGTTGAGAGAAGAAGAAGAAAACCTTGCTTTCAGCATCAGAGTCGTCCTCCGAGCCGTTCGACGCTCTCCTGGCTGAGGACTTCTTTCTCTTACGCTTTTTCTTCACACTCTTCTTTTCATCCTGTATACACAAATAGAAACGCAATCAAACCAATGTAATGCTGCATTAGTGTAGGACCTTATGATGTCTCTAATAAGTTGTCTTATCTTTATTCAAACACAGGAAGCTATTGTTAGAACGAGGCTGTGGGTGTTTCTCAATGTCGAGGAAGGATGCTCCAGAGCCACTATTTCAAGGATGCTACGTCATCGAGTGCCGTCGAAGGACTGTTCCAATGTCCAGGATACTTGGAATTCTACCGAGGCTGGCGTCCTTCGTTGCGAGAAATTTCGAGGCTGCACATGTGTAGACTCCGCGGTCTTAAAATCCCCACAATGCTTTGCGCACGGACCAATTTCCAAATCTTTGGCAGAAATCGCGCTCCATTTAAGGCGGGGCCTCGCATATGACGCACACCTGTTAGCCTGTTCCACCATTCTTCGTTTTCGGAGGCTAGGAAGGATTCTTGCCTCGCTTCTGAAGGACCTGACTCGGAGGGACTTACCAAGGAAGCGTCCTCGACATTGAGAAACACCCGTTAACTGTGCTCTATAAGCAAACAGCAGCCATTTCAGGAGCACATAGCTTCAGTGGGATTATGGGTTACAACATGTTCTTAGTGTTATTGCAATATTTTGTATCCCATGTTTGAAGTCTGCAATGACTTACTGTGTCTTCAGATTCTGAGGAGGAGCTGCTGGAAGAATCAGAACTCGATGAGGAGGAGGAAGATGAAGAATGCTTGACCAAAACACAATGAAAGCAGGGTTCATTAGACTTGAGGTTATTATTTTCGGATAGTGTGTGTGTGTGTGTGTGTGTGTGTGTGTGTGTGTGTGTGTGTGTGTGTGTGTGTGTGTGTGTGTGTGTGTGTGTGTGTGTGTGTGTGTGTGTGTGTGTGTGTGTGTGTGTGTGTGTGTGTGTGTGTGTGTGTGTGTGTGTGTGTGTGTGTGTGAACTGTGATTCAGCTGGCCATCAAAATACTGGAGGTCTCTCCTCACCCTGTTGGATTTCTTCTTCTCTTTCTTCTTTTTCTAAACACAAATAAACAATGCATAGTCAGTAAAGACTTTGATGAATTAGAATCAAGAATGTTGAAATGTCCGATGAAAGAGAGATACAATACCTCTTTTCTCTCTTTCTTCTCCTCTTTTTCCTTGTCCGTTGTCTTCTTGTCTTTTTCCTTGTCCGCTGTCTTCTTCTCTTTTTCCTTGTCCGCTGTCTTCTTCTCTTTTTCTTTCTCAATTGCACTCAACAACTTCTCTCGGTTTTTAGCCAGTTCTTTCCTCCATTTCTGAAAATGACAGCAAACCCATTTTAAAAGTATTCACCATTTATATTGTTATTTGTTTGCCAGTTGAGCCCCTCAAATATGAATAAAAGTTTATGGGTACAGTAAAAAAGATTGCCATTAGGCGTGACACTCACAGCTGGGATTGAACATGATTTTAGGTAAAGAAGGGGATCATTAAGAACAAAATAATGTCAGAGTCAGTCTACATATTCCAAAAAACATACCTCGTTCATTTTGTCCTCGAAGTCGGCCAGGGTTCGAGAGCCCTTCTTCTTTCTCTCCAGCTGTTCCTTTAACTCCTCCCTGAAAGAGACAATAAATCAGTTGCAGCACAGTTTATAATGTTAAATGTTTTAAGTTACTATGTTAACCCAAATTAAAGAAAGTCTTGTTCATTCCTTCATTCATAAATGCATGATTCAATTGTCCTATCCATTTCCAGCATTTGTTAGCCAAATAGTTTCAGTTATAATAAAATATGATATATTAAGCCCCATTTAATAATCCCGTCGTGTCATTGTAAATATGGCATTTAAAAAACATTGTTCTTTAGGTAATGCAAAATAAACCTTCATACTGGCTTTGAGGTATAGAAGGTAATTATTTGAATATGCTGCCTTGTGGCTATGATTGGACTTCCTTTCATTTGGGATCAGATATGACATTTTACCAGATAAAAGTTGAGCTAACCATTTAGAATAGAGTGTGAGAAAAGACAAAATCCGAAAGGTAAAAAATAAAATAAATGTGTATCCTTTCATATGATTATGTTCCTGAGATAAATATCTAAATAATGTTTTCTGAAATATAAAAGGCAAAAGCTCTTTGCTTAAAGAAAGCAAGGTTAACCTGTACAGCGCTTTTTTACTGCTAATAAGTTAAGTACACTTTGGGTATTTCATGGGGGGAACAATAAACATAATTATACTTGTAAAAGAGACATATGATGCAGTTTACAGTTGGATCTGCATCATTTATAATCAATGCATTTCACCGATGAATAAACCCACCCCTAGTATGCAAACATCTGTATGCAAACATCTGGACATCTCTCTCTGCTCTCAATTTTTCTTTGGCATAGCAAGGATGATGTTGCAACAATACTGACTGAAATCAACCAGTATTTGTTTTCTGCTGTGTCATTGGAGTTGAATAAGACAGTGACACTTAAATATTTAGGAAAAGCCCAAGGATGCATTTGAGAACAGTGTTTGCAGTGTTTTACACTGACTGACCAAATGAAGGCGGTTGTTATTTAAAAAAAAAAAGTGTTTCTGTATCTTTATGAGCCTGGAAGACTGTGCTGCTTCTTGCTGTCTCTAGGGAGAAACATGGACTACACAACTGCATAATTCTCTCAGCACCAGCTTTAAATATTTATGTCAGTGAAGGCCAATTAGGACGTCTGTCTTTCGCTCACCATGTTGGCCGAGGTCTGCCTAAATAATCTTGTATAGTTGGTCCGGCGTTACCAGACGGTCCCTTGGCTCGTGAAGCTGCAATGGGGTTGATGTAAGCCTGGAACACCAAACAGAATAATGCATTTTATAAATGTTATTGAAATACACCTTAATTAAACAGTATATTGCAATACGAAACCCTACATCCTTAATTTAGCATTTAACTGAAAACCAAACTGGGGCTTTTATGTTATAAACAGTTTTAGTACAGGGAAATGTTAAGATTAGTTTATTTATATCGCACATTGCAGACACAAAGGCAATGCAAAGTGCTTCACATATACATTAACACTGTCACATAATAATTAAAAACAAAATGAATTGAACAAAAGACAGTTCATAAGAGATATAAATCCGTTTTTTTTTAAGCCCAATAACCCAACCTTAATAAAATATAAACGATGTACTTAACGGTATTATCTTGCAACCTCCAAGCTACCTTATTCGCCGTATACTGTACGATTTACCTTCAGCAAAACACAACCAGAAATTATGTGCGTCATTGATAAAAAATTAGTATCAGAAAATGTTTTTTTGACACAGCTACCGTGTATCTAAACGTCATATTGGTTTATTAAATCCCTTCTAGTGTGCTAAAGCTGTATATAGACTCAGGATGCAAATACAAATCCTGCGCAACCTCACCACGTCAACACATTGTCCAAGATGTTATGAGCTAACGTCACAGTTAGCATTGGTAGCTTAGAGGCCTGTTGGTTGAGCTACAGATTCGCTTTTTTACGACTACTCGATGCACAAAGCGATTTACATCAACACATGTAATTTCAAATTATATTATTGTTGCGGTTTTATTATGTTAACGCACTATCTAGGCCTAGCATCAGAATGGCATACATTTAACATCAGTTAGCCAACGCTAGTAACTGCGATTACGCTAGCATCAGCTTGTATTAAGCCTAGCTAGCTTAGAAAAAGGAACCCTGTATTAATGGTTTCTTATTTTTCACACATATTTTGTAAAACAACTCACCACTCGATTGTCTCTCTTGCCCATGGCGAGTTAGTGATGGGGAAATAATATCCAAAAGAAAGAGCAACCATGAGTGCTACCTGGCTAACATGGACCTAGCCCATGAACCTAGCCACATCAGAAAAGATGACTCTTCTTCGTTTTGGGTTAGCTAACATTGAAATACCGCCACCAACTGGTAGGACTAGGTAGTGTGGATTTGGGCTACATTATAAATGATTAGTCAAGTACTTCTCCAAATGTTCTTTAAGTTATAGAATACCATTAACCCTGACCACTATGTCAATGTGTATTTGTACATTTTAATTTCACACTGTATACATCTATTGTAATTAGGCTACACGTTGTATTTTTGTTCCGTCTCACATCCTTTGTTCTTATCTTTTTTTAACACTTGTTTTGGATTGTCAGTCATATGTTAAACATTTCGAACTGCACTAAACTGTATGAAAGGTGCAATAAAAACAAATGTTTTTGTTGAGTATTATTGAGTATCTGATTTCATTGATTCCAATACGGCTGGAATCCATAATGACCACACTCAGTCCAAACACATGACATTTGTATGTCTGTACAAGGTGGCCCGATCCGTTTTTTTCAGTTCAATATTGTGGCACTCAAGTCCTTGTAGCTCCATTTCAATTGTTGTCTTTCTTTATCTAGTAAGCAGAATGCAATGCAATATTAAATAACGTCCCCGTCATAAAGTCAAGTTCTACCAAAATCACTTTACACATCTAACAATTTCCCTGGTGGTTTGACTACATTAATAACATCTGTTATTATCTATATTATATTATTATTTTCAACAAAAATTATGTTACCTATAATGTTTCCTTATTCCAAGAATAAATACCTGTACATTCACTAATGGAATTCATTCATACTTACAAATGAGTCCAAAACCAGATTCACAAAAAGCTGCTTTTTATTCAACTGGTGCAACACAATAATAAGACACCAATGCCTGCATTCATACACAAGTATAATGCCATGATTGTGTTGTTCCTAGTAACCATTTCCATTATGATAGAAACAAATGTGACACAGTTTAATTTGAGTTATATGATGGATCAACAACAGAGTTCAGTTTTGAAATGTATTAAGTCATTTGAAAAAAAATTATATTTATAGCTTTCATTACATTGAACACACCACTGACATCAGATGTGAGTTGTTATGACATTTAAAAATAAAATCACACAGTGCTTAATCAAGCAGACAAACATGAACCTACATTGTGTTCGCCATTTAGCAATTAAAAGTTGCTGGCAAAACCAGTCGATACAGGCAGTTATCCTCAGACAGTAATGACTACAGTAACATATATTTGATAAATAGAAATGGCAGTAGAGTATGATCAATGAAATGATCATGGAACAGCTTGAAGAAAACCTGAATGTGTTATGATGTTGTAAATGAGTAGCCAAGGGATGTGCAAACTGTGCCCAAAAGGTTTGGACGAAAATACCAAGAACCTGAGAAAGAGTGTGTCTGTGTGTGTGTGCTAGCAGCACTACCTGTTAAGAAAACATAAACCAGTGTTAAAATGTTACTGTTCTGCAAGAACTACTAAATACAAAAATACAACTCTGCATAACTTGCTTTTTTCGCTGGTAAAAAAAACAAACTGATTTTGAATATATGTGGACATGACTTTAAAAAAAGGGAAAACTGTACACAAAATATTCGTGCATTATTTCATTTTCAAACCACTGTAAAACTCACAGCTCTGGATCCAAGGCAAATGCATTTAATAAGCACCCACAGAGCCCACCAATTATTTCCAATAGACAAAAATACTCCTGCCAAACAACCTTCCACTGACCCATCGCTACCTTACATCTATCCATTTTTACGACATATCTATGGGCACGTATCCAAAGCTTTCTATCATTACAGCGTGTACTTAACAATCTATAAAGTTCAGTACCAATGCCTATCCTTTACACATTCCTTACATTGTAAAACTATTCTTACACAAATTCTATAATTGTCTAAAGAGTTGGTATAATTGGTGTAAGAATATTGTATGCCCCAGCATCATTGAAAAAAAGAATCAAGTAACAACTTGATGAAAACAAGCATATAACATTACAATTAAATACAGAATATTGGCGACTCTATTCTGTGCCAAATGTATTCATGTTGGAATAGTGCTGGTGGGACTTTGTCCACCTATTGCATGCCTGTTGGTGGCAGGAGCGTGTACATTAGGTTTTTTTTCATCATTGTCTCAGCACTGATATCAGCCCATTACGATGAGCTCCTTGAAGAGTGCAGAAACCATTAGAATCCCGCTACTGGTCTGCAGTTACCAAGGACATCCTCAAGGTTGCAGTATTATAATACATGTAGGACTGGAATGATAAGATAACCTATTTTATACAGTCTATGGACACGACTTGGCAGTGAGTGGCTGGCTTGTGATGCCCAATAATGTTGCTATAGGGATCTGTGTACATGAGTGTGCTAACGTCAGTGGTAGTGCACACACTAAATGTTGTGTATGTATCTGTGAGTGTACTGTGTATCTGCTCAAGCACATACACAGAGTTAATGGTAAAGGCAGGTGAGAGTCATGTTGTCCACCATAACTCCTCTGTGGTCCGGTCCCCCAGTCAAGAGGGCTTATTGAACACTGGTCATAATAAGGCCTCCACTTCATGGCCTCCATCTACCAGTACATCTGACATGCAAGTCTTTGCATTGTCAACACAGTCGATCATCAACATTTAATAACCTAAAAGCAGCAATTACAATCCATCAGTTAATGGAAGGAGGATAGCTTTTGTGCATTTTCTTTCAATGGCGAGAGTATTGGTGTCATTTTCTTTACACTCTCTGTAGGAATACTACAGCTTTGTATATTGACTTAAAAAAAAAAAAAGTATTTGCCCCCTGACATTTTTCGTGTTTTGTTTTGTACAACACAAAATCATAGTTAAGCTTTTTTGACACAGATTGTCATAACAAAATGTCTGTATTTGCATGGCCCAACAAGTGGCATAAACTAGACTACAAAAGCAAGTTTATTGAAATTACTAATCAATGGAAGGAAATATGTGAAATATGAAGGCACTTGAATATGTAGTGCAAATCAGTTCATACTCAGATTTTACGCCTTTGGCAACTGCCACCTTAGTGGTTTTCTAGCTTTATGGTGAACTGGCAAAGAGAAGGCCACTGTTGAGAAATGATATGACATTTCCACCTTCATTTGCCCTAAGACATGTAGAAGTAAAAGAAGACTGGTGGGATGTCACCAAAATCTAGCTATATGACTAACAACATGCAATGCAAAGCCTGGTGTTTGTAATTCCATGTTGTAGCAATTGCAATTGTTGTAGCAGGACAGCAACCTAAAAAACATAACCTTTAAAATCAGCAAAGAACTATCTCTAGAAGGACTTCAACCAAGTGGCTAAATCACAATCCAGATAGAATTCGCTGCAGAACTATAAAGCTACTATTTTACTCTGACTGAGCTTGAGGACTTTGGCAAAAAAGATTTAACCAGATAGACTCAAGGCTATAAATGCAAAAGGTGCATCTACATGCCTCTGTATCAATCACTTTAATCTATTTGTACCAAAATGACCTCCATTTTGTACATTTGTTTCGCTAATACTCCTAAAGCATACTCCTAAATGTCAATCAGTGTCAAAAAAGCTTAATCAACACACTATGATTTAATGCTGTAAAAATAGAAACATGAATAAACTCCAAAGCAGGGTTTGCAAAATACTTTTTATAGACACTGTATGGGATGATTAAGAGCGAAGGAGGACCATCAGGCAGTCCGCTCCTCCATAGTGGGCTTGTTGGGGGGGATGGGCTGGGCTGCGTACACACTCCTACTGTGGCTGTCCACACTTTGGAAGTAGGGGTGGCTGAGCGCAGCAAACGCTGATATCCTCCTGGAGGGGTTGAAGGCGAGGAATTGCTGCAAAGAGCGAGGAGAAATAAAAGAGAAGGAGATCAACCATTAAATAAAAGTTGAAAGAATATTGTAAATTGCTAAAAAAAGTACTGCATCTCGTACTACTCACCATCAAGAGGGCCTGCCCTTGCTCGTCCATATCTGGAACCAAGTCCTCCAATTGCTTCGGGGGCCGGGGGGTGAAGGCACTCTGTGGTAGGGCCACTTCCTGGGGCCAGTCCTCTACTGAAGGGACCCCAACAACACTGTGGGATGATAATGGACATTAGTGACTCTTTGTCAGCAATGTTCAGCATTCAACGCCTCTCGTGCTCAACTATTTTTAAATATATTGTTAGGTTTACTGAAGAAACTGGAAGGGTGCGAAGTAGTGCTAACAATATTAACATAAATGAGCAGCGTAACCTAATCTGGGGGGCTTTGAATTAATTACAGAGAAGAAGTTGTATGGACATCCTGTTCCTATTGGCAGGATAATAGGTTTGATAAAAGCCAAATTAAAAAGGAGTACCCTGATTAAGTTCCCTGAATGACTTTTGATTGACCTATAATTGTGAAATATCTTTCTTTTTATAAAGTCTGTTCAATCAGTTTGAAACATACAGGACCAGGGAGACTGTAACAGGAAGCACAGCCAATAATACTTACTCAAAAATCTTTCCCAGCTGATCAACATCTGAGTTTCCTCGAAATAGCGGCCTGGGAAGAAAGAAAAAACAAGATCAGTTTGACAACCGACGCTCATTTATTGTCCTGCACAAAAATAAATAAATAAAAGGTCAAATGCATTTTGATTAAAAGTGTACAACATCAATTAGGTTTTTCATGACCTACTTTTGATGTAAGCCCGTGCTAACTATCCCACGGTACACTACAGACAAGCAGACCTAAGATAAAAGCTATTGGCTCAAGGCAAAGAGGAATGTTTGACTCTAATGCGAGCGTTTGAAGTAGCCACACACTGGCAGCTTCATCTCATGTAGTCAGGATTGTGAAGCAGTGTTGGTAGTACCACTCAAAAGGGGAGGGAAGGAGGGATGAAAGGAGGGAGGAGAGCGGTGGCGAGGGCTGCTGGTGGTTCCTGTGGCTTTGGGCCGTCTCTGGATGCCCGTGGGCGGCCATGCCTGCTCTGGCACCCGCACAGATTCCAGCAGTCATCATCAGCACAAGACTGCCGGCCGCCACACGGTACAGAGAACGCCCATTTATCCCTCATGTGTGTGGGTGTGTGCTTTTGCCCCGTGTGAATGTGTGAAGGAAAGTGGGAGGGAGAGGCGTGAAGACATTTTGGATTATTCTAACAGAGACAGAGGTATGGGAACCTTTCCTGCTGAAGTTCCTCTGAAAGGAAATGGGTTTGAGAGGACTTTAACAGACGATGGTGATAGGATAACTAAATCCGTTACTCCCACAATTACAGTATGAAATCCAGTAGGGTCAGAGAAACTTTATTTTTGTTATATATCTCGTTTAAGATGGAAAAGTCGCCAGCAGATGTCAATATAATGCAGGATATTGTCACATAGGTGTGCTTGTATGCTTTCTGTATCCTGGCACATTTACAGTGGCAGTGCACCTCACTTGACTGAAGTCAACACACCGCCTAGCCACCATGTGCTCTTTGTGTTTTCCCACTTGCAGGAAGCATTGCATAGCTTAACACCCACACTTTCCTACAGACTCAGACACTGGGAAATTAGTCAGACTGAGGTATTTGGCAAATCTTTACAGTGACAGCAAACTTGCACGCTTTAGTTCGGAAGTGGAGATTCACTCTGCCTCATACATTGTAGTGAAAGAGGATCACACCACAGAGTAAAGCACTGCCATTTAAGATCAAACCAAACCAGTTGTGACGGTTATTACCTACAGCCAAGTCATTGTGCCAAAACAAGTAGGGCTGATAATGTGAGGAGGTCCATATTTAAACTTTGAGTGGTTTGCTGGTTTGTTGGAGGGGGTTAACTGGATTCACAGAACTGGCCACTGGCATGCACACAGTAAACTATCAAGTGCAAATGCACACATGTTGGCCTGTAAGCAATTAATTGACTTATCGTACGATAAATAAAAATGAACTCGATAACTTTTCTGACCTCGATAAATTGCCGTTTACATGCATGTTTGTTTACATAAGGATGTGACCAGCATTTTAGCCAGGCGCGCTGTGGCTGCCGGCCAGGCGCGCCGTGAGGGGCGGGGCTCGCACACAGCCAGGTCAGGACACTCCGCGTGCAAAAGCGTAGCAGCCAAATGAATAATATAGAGACAAGCAGGAGATAACGTGTGACTTACTCGAGGGGAATTTGAAGTTAAATGGAATTGGTTGCGAAACCTAATTCCACATCTCCGGTGTGGGAATATTTTGGATTCAAGCCAAATCAACGAGGCGAACCGACGGACTTGAATGAGCCGGGCGGTGTGTCGCATTTGTTTTAAAAAGGTAGCAACAAAAGCTAGCAATACGACCAACCTTAAACTGCACCTGAAACACAACCACCCCATTCCGTTTTCCCAGCTGGGAGCAAACACGGCAGCTGGAGATGGAGAGCCCCCACCTTCCCGACAGTTTACAATCAAACATGCATTTGCCCGACAATGCAAACATGTTGGTGTTCCTTGCTCGAAAACTTTGATATACAGATATGGCCTGTTGAGGCATCTGGGTCTTTGTATGGACAGTGGACTGTACACTTGACTGTTGTTTTAAGGAGGTTTTTTTTGCTTGTGAGATAATGTGTGCTCATATATATATATATATATCTATATAGATATATAAATAGATTATATATTATCATTATGTCAGTGGTCTAAAATGGTCCTACAGTGCCGACAATATTATCGTTTATCGCAATAATTTCCAGGAAAATGTATCGTCCAACAAAATTAATTATTGTGACAGGCCTACACACATGCAACAAGGGAATTGTTTGTCCCCCAGCACGTTTGTACACAAACAAACGGGTGGCAGTGAAATGGAGACTAAGAGTGGTTTGGGACAGGAGCTGAGTCACGCTTCCTCTAATGCCAACACAGCTCTGTCCCACATTCCCTGAGACAACCTCTGGAATGTCAGTTTGTGTGTGTATGTATGTGCATGTTTGCTTGTCAGATGGGTGGGAAACAGAGAGACAGAAAATAGAGTGTGTGCTCTGTGGACTGCGTGGACATGCAAGTGTGTGTTGAGTTTGGATGCACTGAACATGTTTGTTTAAAGCGCACGTGCATGCAAGGTTGCGGCTTTGAGGATTTATCAATTGAGTTCCAAACTGTGAGAAAGTCAACACGGTTGCGGGGCCTCTCCCAGACCATTAACACAACACGTTCAACCTTTTCGATTGGAGGAATGTCAACAAGCAGGCGCTCTCTCCCCCCCATTCACTCGAACCATGACTCACCCCGACACTATCCCAGCCATGCAGATGCAGACTTGCATGATATTTGCTCAAATTCCTTTGACAAGTTCCCAACTATTCTCGCTACAGTGGATAGTCATTAAAAGGAGTTTTTACAATGGCATGTTTGATAATGTAAGTGGATAAGAGAGGACGGTGCTTGGGGGGAAACTTTGAAGTGTTATGAGTCATAGGAAAGACGTTATGAGGCTTGTTTTTTTAGTTAACTTTTTGTGACCTGAAACAGGGTGAATTGAAGGCATCACTGCGAAGGTGTCACTGCGCAGTGGGGCTCATTTTCATAGAACTTACAAATGTTTCCAAGGGGATGTCTTATGATTGGTCATTTGAGTGGCCAACAGTCCAACATTCTTAGATTTGAGGAGGAGGTACTTTCAGATACTTAAAAACAAAAATGTTGCAAGATGAATTGCTTGTTCGCACTGAATATTGGTTCATAGGCAACAACAGATCAATCGCATCATTATGCAGATTATATTTAATACCAGATGTACTTTTCATTCGCAGAAGAACAAACAAACAATACATTTAGATGCTAACTATTCCCGAAGGCAGATAAATCACCAGCGGGGATGTCTGGTTCCTGTACCTGAGCTGTCAACGATTATAATCTCCAATTGAACCAAACTGCAAAGCAATAAACAGTGTTATCTCATCCCCTCTTGTTCTGCACTTTTCCTCAATCGAGCTTTCATTTGCTTTCTTTCACTGCTTCTCCCAGGTGCCCTTTAATCTCTAACAGGTGGCCTTTTAAAAAGCCATCTTAATCACCTGCAGGGGGAACGGGGGAGGAGAGAGGGAAAGAGAGAGAGGGAGAGCTCTGTTCATGGCCATCAAAGGGCTCTGACTTGCCTTCCGCCTTAAGGCAATGTTGGACAGGTGCCAGATTGTGAAAGCACACATATATACACACCAAAGCTTTTTACAGCTTATTGTGTACACACACACACACACACACACACACACACACACACACACACACACACACACACACACACACACACACACACACACACACACACACACACACACACACACACACACACACACACACACACACACACACACACACACACACACACAACACACACACACACACACACACACACACACACACACACACACACACACACACACACACACACACACACACACACACACACACACACACACACACACACACACACACACACACACACACACACACACACACACACACACACACACACACACACACACACACACACACACACACACACACACACACACACACACCAAGGCAGGAGTGTGCCAACCTCAGATTGTGCCCTCTATAAAAGGGAACACTAAATCCTCTGAACATAATACATACAATCGTTCATTTCACTTTTTGCCATTCATGATGTGTTAACACATGTTCAATGTGGCATAAAGCACAGCGCCTGTTATTCATCCCAATGAGTGGACTGAGGTGTCACATGTGACGGTACAGCGGTTGCCAATTGCTTTTTTTTGTCGATTGGCTAATTGATTAATCGACATAAATGTGTCGACTCCCCTCAAAAGATGCAGAATTAAAATAAACATTTTGAATTATTGAGCAGCTCAGTAGACTGAATGACCAGTCTGTAATATTCTTCCAGATACCAAATCATTATTGGTGGTAAATAAACAGCGGAAGTGTTTTCATGACATAACCGAGTCACATATGACCGTATTCATCAATGGTCTTGCTCTAAAAACAGGAAACCAGGAATAACAAAGCAGGCGCTGTCCTCCACTCTCCGCTCTGCTAGCCGTCCTAATGCATGTGAAATCACACAGCAATGATCTTATCTTGCAATATGAAAAATCATCATGTGTCACAATTTTTACAGCAGGGTACTAAAGAAGTGTGAACACATGACCCAGATCACACATGAACAGTATGGACCATGACTGTTTTAAAAAGGTCAGATCAGGGACAGATGCAACAACACTGTGCAGTGCAGATTATGGTTGACGAATGAATAGCTGAAAGGCACAGTTGCAGTATTTTTCTACAAGATATTTCCTAATGTTATGTTTTTTTATGGTGGTATCTTACAGGTTGGTCCACATGGGGTGTCTCAGAAAGGCAAAGCATATGATATTCTTATATATATATATTATGAATTATAATTTCGATAGTGACCGTCTTCCCTTTAAGGAAGCGTATTCCTTTATTGAATTTCATTATGCTTTTATATGTGATCTGTCAGTATACCACATGAGTGCCACATTGCACCCAGTGTCCCCAGTATATTCCCACATGCAGAAGTGTGAGTCGTTGTGTGTGGCTGTGCTTATTGGGGTGTGAGGACGGTTGGGGAAGGAAGCATAAATTACAGGCAGGGCTGCTCCTCCTGGCACTCAGCCCTACTGTTCTTATCTACTCTGAAGCACACCACCACAGCCAAGCTAGACTCCAGTTCATTGTTCACATAAAACACAATTATGTGCATACTATGGCACATAAATATTCATATAAGATTGGTGGTATGATTATAGAATATGTCATTAAGTCCCAGAACAGTATTCTTTCCTCATAGCCAGGAAATAGACCTTTTTTTAGAATGTATTTTTTTTAGAAAAGTGGTCCGTTATGAGCTAGCTCTCCAGTGTGTAGAGTTCGTTAGACCACAAACTGACGATACCTACACCAAGAAGCAGGATCTTGACTTGCATGCTGCAACCACAGCATCCAGGCTGCCATTACTGTAATGGTTTGATAAGTCAACTGAAAATGTGATTGCCGACTGCTCAAAATGTGGCTGACAGGTGCCATTTAGAGAAGTTTAAGAAACACCCAAATAACTGAATCTGTAACAACAGTATGCCACTGCCAACCATTCAAGTTGTAGTTTACATTCATGTCCGTCAAGCCTTGTATCAGTAGACTTTCAAGGAGCTACATGAGATGTAAGTGTTATAATGCAAACACAGCACAGTAAAATATGAGGAAAAACTGTGCATGAATGAGGGACTGATGTGTTGTTAAAACTACAAAAATGATAACCCCTTTGCAAAGAGAAAGCATGAACACGATGTAAGACAAGATAATAATAATAATAATAATGCTAATAAGATATTACAGTTCAACACAGTTGTAAATAAGTGTAATTATTGGCTAGAATGATTTTTTGTTTTGTTTTATGTATTACTGGACAAATGTAGGCAAAGGGTGCTGATGTGAAATCTTGGAAAAGTTGTTGCTGGTTTTATATTTAAATTGTATCAATGGCGGTGTAGTAAAAGCTACATTTTCTTTGATCTCACCTTCTCCTGAACATCTCAGCAAAGATGCAGCCGACACTCCACAGATCCACTGGTGTGGCGTAACTGGACTGAAGCAGCACCTCCGGGGCTCTGTACCACAGCGTCACCACCTACAACACACAGCAAAAATCCACTTAGAATAATGGTTGAACGCAAAAAGACACAGTCACAATAACTCCTATTTTGTTGCATGTAGCCAGCAACATTGAGTAAATGTCACCATATAGGAGGGGGGCTCATGCTAACACACATAGGGTTAATACTTCTCTGTCCCAATCTTAGACTTACGTAAGACATGAAATCATATCTGGCAGGACAAGTCTCTCGACTCCCATTTTGGTGTGTACCCACATCACAGTCTTTCCATAGTGATCCAGCAGGGACACAAACTACTGTGTGTGTGTGTGTGTGTGTGTGTGTGTGTGTGTGTGTGTGTGTGTGTGTGTGTGTGTGTGTGTGTGTGTGTGTGTGTGTATATATATATATATATATATATATATATATATACGTGCAATATTACAATAATAAATGATACGTTTTACTGGTTGAAACTTGGCAGTGTCTCATGTTTGTGAAGTGACAGCGAGCTGACAATCATTGGTATTAATCACCACACCCAACCCAGTCCCTCCTGCTAAAATTTGAAAACAATTCTTTTTCAAGCAAACCTGAACCCACCTGAATTTCAACAGCAGCCATTTTGTGCCACTTGCCATTAAGCATAGTTTCCAAATGTGTCCCTGTGACTCTATTGGGAGCTGTGAGTGTGTGTATGTGTAGCCATAGCCTGCAGGAAAGCAGCAGCATTGTTAACAGCTACAGTAGGGAAAGCCTCCAGACAAAACTCAGTGACCCCTACTAAGAGAGTGGACTGGTTCCAGGTGCTTTCCTAAACTCCAGATTTTTCCAACAGCTTTTGGCTGCCGTTCCCCACTCAAGCACTGCAGAGTGCTTATCGGGAACTTAGAGTCTGAGGCGAATGTTTGTAAGCAGAACGAGTGCGGTGTCACCTAGATATCTTTATTAGCTGGCTTTGACTCTCTGTGGGAGTAGGATGAAACGATACCCAGAGCTTTTAGATGTTGTCCACATGCCTGTATTTGTAATATGAGAGCAATGATCCTAAGAGGACGTAGATAGCCAAATATGAGCTATTAAAAAGGGAATCAGGTCCTTGCTTGTGTGCTTAAGTACCGTCTGAGAAATTACTGAGTCAGCAGTCATGTAACTTTGTGGTTTATAGATATTAATGGTTCCCAAAAGAGTATTACCATTTGCTTTGGTTATCCATGAACATTTTCCATCATCAGGTCAAAAATAAATTGGCCTTAAAATGTGCTTTGTGAATACCAGCCAAACTAATGATGATTCCCATCAGCTAACGTTAGCATGCTAACATGCAGAACTACAATGGTAAATAGCATCTGCTTAAAGTGCATCATTGACAATGTGAGCACATTAGCATATTGATTTGAGCATTTACAGATTAGTCTCAAAGTGCCGTAACTAAGTTTCAGTCCTTCTCAATGTAAACTGTCAATATAGAAAAAGCCATTTAAGTCATTTTTAAACATCTGTCTGGATAAATGATATAAACAAACCGATGGTATTATTTTGAAAGAGCTATAGTTTAGTTATATTTTTTGAAAGAATTTGATAAGCCACTTGTGATAGAGATATTATTTTCCCGCTCAATATGCTTTCCTAATATGACCGAATTCTGCTATATGGCAAAGGTTTAAATGCCAATGAACGTGAATTGCATCACAAAGCAGCAATTGTATATTACCAATCCACCCCTGCACAAAGTAAGAATTATATCATAAAAGAGATGTTATTAATAGCTGTAGTGCAAAGGGAACATTTTTAACATCTGAGGCAAACTGGAGAAAATGAACAGACATAACCCTGAGCTCGGATTATGGCACTCAACAGAGACCGATAAGAGGAATAAAAAGTTTGGTCACATTTTGTTCTTCTAAACTGAATGACGCTATTAATAGAGCCGAGGGCTGCATTTTGCAGAAGTGTGATACTTTCTCATCTCCTGCTTCAGTGGAAATAGGGAGGAAGTTGAGGCTAGTTGGCTGAGATGTTGGCTGAGCCATGTGACCAGATATGTGACATGAACAGAGAGTCAACAGAATGACTGCTTGGGTCATTGAAGATTTTTAAAACAGTGAAACCTCAAAGAAAAACATGAATGGAGGTTGCACAGCTGCCTCTATATTCAGGCAACAAAAGGTCATTCATATTTCTTTCAACATAGGAAAACCCAATGATGACTTGCTTTAATTTGGTAGGAATTATTTCTTACTTACTTTGATTTAAACTAAGTTTTCAACTTGATATCTAGTTAGGGCACATCATATTTCCATCTCTCATACCAACTCAAACTTTTTATTGAGCATGGATCTACACGAAAAAAAAACATGATCCTTGCACTCTTGCAGCTGCAGGCTCAAATGTCAGTCTGCATGGAGTTGGAAGACCTGCAGTCAAAATGCAGGGCTTGCGTGAACACATATGCAGACACGTAAAGCCTTCTAGGAAGAACCACAGACCTAGAGCTCGGGGTATATCCGCCTCATACAGTTACTAGAAACCTGGCCACAACTGCAGATGAAGTCTTTTATATCACACATGCATCAAGTCACAGACACCGGAAGATAGATACTTTAAATCATACTGCAATCTGATTACACCCCGACTACTTACACTGTAGGAAACCCTTTTTGTAGCATGTAGCAACTATTGCAGGGGGGGGGTCTTTCATTCAATTTTTTCCATTAAGGGATAGGACTTCCATCTACAATTTCTCTAATGTAAATAATCATCAAAGAGGCAATACATGAGTCCGTCTCTCGATATTTCCAAACTGTGTGTTACCTTATCCTGTTTGTTCTTAGTTTAAAAAAAAAAGAAAAAAAAAAAAGGGTAACAAATGTATGCATGCATTTTTGAAAGGTAATACAATCTTCTTAAGCTTTTTCTTATATTATACGAGTGAGTAATTTATGAATAAGCTATATCAGACAGATAGTGGATACACAAGCACTTTTTAGAAGGATCCTATCTGTTTTTTTCCAAACAAACACTCTGCTGTAATCACTGCTTTCCCCTTACCAATTTATCCTCACCCTTTTTCTCTCTACCTCTTCCCTCTATCTTGCAATCCCTCTCCCTTCTCTATTAGCATCCTTCTTTCTCTGTCTGTTTCTGAAAGCCCATGAGTCTGTAAAACACACATGCCTGAAATGCAGTAAAGTCTAGATACAACATTTTGAGAGACCGTAATATCCATTGAGCATTTTGATCACACACAGTTTCACACTATCCATACAATGCGCAACTCTGTGTTTGAAGGAAGTCTCAAGTCTGTTTTACTGAATACTTTCAAACTATAACTCTGAAAGTGCTTTGAGTGGAGGCCTAAACACATTCACTTAATAACTGTTTTCATGGAGATGATTGTAACAACACTAAGACTGTTGTAAAAAGAAACCTTCCCCAATTGTTGTTATAAGCTTCTTTCTGTCCTTCCTCTTCTTCCGACCACGTTTGCATTCCTTCTTTCTTAGTCTCTTTCTCACCCTTCTCATTCTCTGTTCTGCTTCACGCATCCCTTCATTAACCCACCCCTGCTCTCCCTTTTCTGTACAGGCTGCAGGGAAACAGCGATACAGACGCATACAGTATGTAGGACAATCAGACACAGAGAAGGGGAGTCAGCTGTTTAACTCTTTCGATACAGTGTGTTGCTCCAGTTAGGTCAGCTGCTTTTTCAATCTGTCTCCCACCTATCTGACACCCTTCTTCCCTTCCGCATAGTAACAGAAAGGCCAGAGGAGGTCAGATAAAGCAATGGGAGAGAAAAAGAGAGTTAGAGAGAGAGAGAGAGAGAGAGAGAGAGAGAGAGAGAGAGTGTGTGTGTGAGGCTGACTCCAGATTAAAGGACGACATTCTGGGAATTCCTTTCTGCTGAGAGCATCCTCCCCCTCACCAACACCACCACCACCACCACCATCCTCCTCCTTGGCCCTCACTGCTGCTCCCTGCTCCGCTTCAGGGAGGAAATGACTTCTCCTGGCCCGAGGACCTCCAGACCTCCTGGGCTGGACCTCCAAGCCTGTCTGAATAGCTCCATGGGACCTGTGCCACCAGCAAACTGTGCACGAGTCTGACAATGCTGCTATTGACAATTGTTATCACACTACTTCTACACTTATTTTATTATAAAAAGATACTCTTAATATCTTTACTTTAGCTGTAACAATGTCACTTTCCCCTCTGTGGGACTAAATAAGGTGTTCTGATTCTGATGTGGTCCATGCATGTGAGCGTGGGGGCGTTGGTTTTATTTTGTTTGTGTGAATACTTGCACGTGACTTAAGTAGAGCACCTGCTTTAGCCTGGATTCATGTGCTTCAGGGCCAAGTGCTGTGTGTCTGCGAATGTACAAAAAGTTATCTGCAGTATGCGTTTGATGTTTAAAGGAACTTGGGTCTTATTTCTCAGTGTGTCAGCCATCTGTCCTTTTTTACAAGTTGGCCCCCTTGGAAGCCCATAAACCTGAATTATTCTTTAAAGGGGACCTATCATGCAAAATGCACTTTTGTACGTCTTTTATACATGAATATGCCCCGGTGCTCCAGGGAACTCACCAAGTGTCAGAAAACACAACCCTCTCTCTTTTCCTCCATACCCAAATCTCTAAAAACGGGGCTGCAACGGATCTGATACAGATGGATCCAGATTTGAACATTTCTCTGACGTCAGGACGGAGGAGCTGACCTATCAGGGGAATGAGAGGTTTCCGTGGCATGGTAACAGCATGGTAACACGACGCTCGTAACTTGGCCCCCTCCTTTGCAGGGGGGCGTGGTCAGCTGCAGCGCATGCAAAGACAGGGTGGAGGAGAGCAAAATGAGGCATGGCTAAAATGCATGATCTGTTTGGTATTTTGAAAAAGAAAACATATAAATATACCTTATATAGGTATGGCCCTACAATATATTATTCAAATATAGTATGACAGGTCCACTTTAAATAAAGGGCATATTATGTTGGGTGGTTGGGGTTGCACTCTCACCACTGCTACCATGACACA